CAATCTAACTAACTACGTGCCACCCCACCCCCCACAATCAAGTGTAGCATCTGCTCCGATCAGTTTCATATCTGATCCATGATCCCGTGATCCATCGAGACCTTTAAAAGAAATAGCATGTGTTGTGTGTGTGTGTGTGTGTGTGTGTGTGTGTGTGTGTGTGTGTGTGTGTGTGTGTGTGTGAGAGAGAGAGAGAGAGAGAGAGAGAGAGAGAGAGAGAGAGAGAGAGAGAGAGTGACCCCAATCTTACTACACGGCCTGCCCCTTTCCCCCCCACACGATCACAGAATTGCGTATCTCCCGACATCTGAAGAAAGAATATTTGTGGTGAGCGGGAGACAGGTATGCAACGTGTGACACACACAACAGACGAGTTCAAATCCGAACAATCACATACCCAGCAAACCACAACTGAAAAGAATGCAAACTGTGATTAGGTCTCTGACAGGAGAAAAAAACGAAAAAAAATCAAAAAGAGAAAAAAAAAGCATATATTCAAGGCGTTCAAAGCAGCAGCAGCATTCCATCAGCAGTGTCAACAACAGTGCACAGGTGAGCCTAAAAAACACCCCGGCCCCACCCAAACCTTTACCCGGACCAACAAGCCCCCACCCACCCTCATTTGCACCCTTTTCCCTTCATTGTTTTGCGGGCGAAGCCGCAACAGGTAGCCTTGTTGTTATTATTATTATTGAGAGAAGAATAAGATTGGTGAAGTGGAGGAGGAGGAGGAAGGTGGAGAGAGAAGGGGGAATTGTCATTGGTCTTGCTGGTGTACTTCTTCTTCTTCTTCTTCTTTTTCTTCTTTCTCTCTCCTATGGTCTTTATCTCTTTGCAAGTGCTTTCATTTCCTTCGCAATTGGGTGGCATTGTCTTTCATTGTGAATTTGCACTTGGGAAATGACCAGGATCATAACAATTGGTATCGGAGCGGACTTACTTGCTGGCGAGAGGTGTTAGTCACCCTAAACCTAATTCCGAGTTAGGTTAGGGCAAACCTAATCTCGGATTAGGGTTGGAAGTTAGGGTGTGGATACTGCCCCCACCTGGTTAGGTCATGTTGGGTCGACATTTGGCCTAGCCAGGTTGACTGAGTGAATGGATGGGGTGGCGAGACACAAAGGAGGCTGATTGGAGTAAGCGAGAGGGAGTAGAGAGTGAGAGGTACTCGCACTTGGAATTTGGACTTCAGGAAGACATTGAGTGAATTTTGGGCTTCCCCTCAAGAGGGAGACTTGATCGGAGGCTGCCATATCTGCATCGGATTGCTGCAAGTTGCTACTTTGGTCTTCAGGCATCGACAGGGGATCCGGCTTTGCAACAAGGGTGTAGGAAGGCCCTCTTAGTCATGCTAGGACACTTCATGTAGTGGTAGCTAGGGGTCAGGAGGACTTATGAGAGAGGGGGGTGACTCGTTATCCATCTTTGGAGGCCGGGCCTCATAGGTAAGTGCCATGTGACATGGGTATGCCCGTGGGAGGTTGCTTGGTGCTTCATGGCCTGTTGGGGGTGTGCTGGGCTCTCTTCCTCTTCTTTGCGGTCTTGGTTGTGTGTGTGAGCATGTGGATTGCTTTCTCACCTGATGGATGGATGGATGATGTATCTGATCTAAATGACATATCTTTCTACGGTGCACTGTCTTTTCATTTCTGAACGGCTGTAGGGGTAAGTTCTTGCTGAAAGTTGTCTTTTCCTTTTCAGTACGGTAGAGGCAGTTTGGGACCGACTTGGTACCCCTATCACGTTGGTCCTGGTCCACGACCTACTTGGGACCCCTCGGGACCCAGTGGGACCAGGTCCAACGGGACAGGACCTTTTGGGCCCAAATTTGTTGCCGCCTGTGCATTTCTTTGCTGCGCTGAACTTGGGGGACATACGGCTAGCAAGGGCATTCCTTTCAAGGGGATCTTGACTGGTCTTACCGCCTGTTATCACATACTGCCCCGCGTCTGACTCGGCGACCGTCTACACCCCTCGAAATCTCCATTGCTGCAGTTGGTTTTCTTCGGCTGACTTATCGTGATGCATGTCCCTTGTCAGGTTAGACAAGAGGGGATCTCCAGCTGATCTGATCGGGCCCGTTCTATAAGTCAGTCCTCTCTTCCGTTTAATTTTTTTATTTATTTATTCTTTTTCCGCTGCGTGCCATTCTCTGAGTCCAAATGCATTGCCGCTCCGGCTAGGAGTTCTACCTTCTTCTCGGTGTGACTTTCTGTCTGTTTCTTTCATCTGAACTATCTATGTCCAGTATCGAAACGCGTGCGCAGACAGCAAGAAGAGAAGAAAGGGAGAGAGAAGGTGTTCTGTTTGAGAGTGTCAGGAGGGGCAAGGGGAGTGTTCGTCCAAACGTAAGGAGAGAGCGGACCCCTCTTGAGAGATCTACTGACACCCCTTCCTCAGGCATGGCAGACATCACATCTGCCCAATGGCAGGCCATGTTGGACGCAGCAGACGAGAGCCAGAAACCGTTCTTTCAAAAATTGTATGACGACGCCGTACAGAGGGAGAGGGAGGCAGAGGCAGCAACCAGGGCTACAAGCATAGCTGCTCAGGTGGCCCTCCTACAGGTCCCGGAAGCCAATGCTAACCGGTTCCAGGAGAGGCTAGCTGCTGCCGTACCAGCCTTGGTTCAACTGCGGAACTTGGAGGATCTTGAGTCCCGCGTAACAGCGTTGGAGCAGCGGAACCAAGAGCTGCAGGCTGAGATAATTGGGCTTGGCTTGGCCTGCTTCAGACCGGTGCCGGTCGGCCGCGGCCTGTCTGCTGCAAACATTTTGTCGGTCCGGTACCTTCCGGACTTTTGTGGGACATGCTGCAAATTGGACTCGGGACTGTCGGTCTGGACTGGACTCTTTTGGACTTTTCTTGGCGGGTACCGGACGGACTTCCACTGACCTAGGACTTTTCGGTACTGACACCTTCCAACCAACGACGTTTTGGACTACAGACCCTACGGCCTATCCTACTGGGACAGCCTGGGACTGGGACACTTCGGGACTAGGAATGGGGTGTCTGCAGCGTGAATCCTTTCATATGAAAGCATCTTTTATATTACAAGTTTGTAAAGAAAAGGAATATTCTTAATCATTGATCAAATCAATTTTATATTATTTTGCTGCTCTAGCAAATAAGACAAACTCCTTGACCAGTTCTGAGGAAAAAGAGTTTCTGTTTTTCGTATTGGGACATGGAAGCGTCTATTCTAGCAAGTTTGAGGAGCACCTTTTCATGACCTGGGGACCAATTCCTCAAGTAAGTGCTTCAAATTCTTCTAGGCAAAGCTTGGGTGGCCTTTGTGCTTTGGCCTGAGCACAGTCTTGTCTTCAGAGAAGTGGACATTCAAGCCTTGCCCAGAGATAATGTGAAATCTTCTTGGACGACAGTTTGACAAACTGCCGAAAAAATTCTGATCATCAGGCCCTTATGATGAAAATACTCCTCAATCTGAAGGCACGTTCTTTTGAAGATAAGGCCAACTTCTTCTCAACCATGAACATCGCATGATCTACATTGCAACCTTTTGTCTGAATGCGCACAGGTAGAACTAATGAGTTGTTCAGAGCATGTTTTCTGCGAACAACAAATCACGAGGATGATTGATCATCCATTCATGATCCGACAATATGCCTCATTTCAGGATACTAAATACCTGTAAGTTTTTCTTAACCTTCTGTTTTTTATATGGTTCTTCCTCAACTAGTGATCAATGTTGCCTATACTTGTTTGATTGCCTTTGAAGTTCAACCTCTGAACGCATTGCAGAGGACTTGCTTTATACATCTCTGTCAACTCCAATAAATGGAACTTTTCGGCTAACAACCAGGTACAACTTGAACCCTGCCACCTTATTATTTGCACATGATATCGCGTTGCCTGTGTGGCCATCAGGCTTATCCCTTCTAGCACTTGCGAGAGCTTTTTAAGCCTTTGAATTAGGGGTGTCGGATCACCGTTGAATGTAAGCTGCAAAAAAAAAAATCGTGGCTAGTGGATGGCAGAGAGCCCTATCCAAAACTCGATCAAGATGCTAGAGGGCTCAATCAGATCATTGCTAGCAAGGCCTTGTGTTGGCAACCATGGTTACATTTTAAACCTCTGAGCGAAATTCATCAAGAGATTCATGTGGTGGAGAAAATGTATGTGGCATGAATGTGTTAGGGCTCTCGAAATGTAAGCTCTTTAGTCTCTGCAACAGCATGTGATACATGCTCAGTTGAGCGATGTATATGGAGCCAAGGATCGCAAAGTGATGAAAAGGACTCAAATGGAGAATGCAGTGTCAGCAAAGCATGAACAAGCAATTTGCATCCAGATACATATGAAAATAGCACAATGTAGCGCAGCGGAAGACCCAAAGAGATGACCTGACCTGTCAGAGACTGACGCGACACCCCATCATACACCACACATGTGAGAGAGGGAGGAGGGACAACATACATGGAAGAAAGGTCCCTCCTTGAACACGCACATGGGGAGAGATACCACGGATGAGCAGATGGGGGAGAGGCGAGACACAGATGGAGGTGAGAGAGAAACCAAGATCGCGATAGCAAAGTCCAGATAGTCTTCCGGCCGAATGCCCGATCAATGTCTGTCACAAAATGTCGAATCAGATCCTGGGCTTCATGCCCGATCTAACCTTGGCCTTATAATCTCTCTTTGAAGAAGAAGAAGAAGAAGGGAGGAGGAAGCAGAGATGGAGGGCGAGACGAAGAAAAAGAAGAAGGTGTCGTCCTCCTCGCTGTCTCACCTGCAGGTAACTGCTGTGATGTACTAACTGTTGGCGGTCGCTCTCTCTGTGTGCAGGTCGCTGGCGAGAGGGCCAGCTATGGCGCCCAGGTAGGAGCTCCGTCGATGCAGGTATGGTCTCCACCGACTTCCCTACCTACACCTCTACCTCTAGTGTAGTGCTGTCGCGCTGCTCCAGCAGCGTGTCACCCAAGAAGTGAGCTACTCGAACTGTGTCTGCCCTGGCGTGGCCCCGCTATAAGTAGCGCTGGGCCTCGCGAGTGTGCCTTTGTGTGCCTCTGGTCCAAGGCCTAGAAACGGCCTGCCTGGGTCCCTGCCGGGCGTCCAGGCCCTCCCTGCTGATGTAGTAGGGAGTGTCCGCTATCGGACAAAAATGGACCTGGCCCAACAGGGCCTGCCTACGTTTGTACCAGGCCAAAAACGTGGCCTTATCCGAACAGACCGAAAGTCTGTTCGGATGAACTGCAAGTTCGAAACGACGCCTGGACAGGCAAAAATATGACAGCCAATAAATAAATAAATAAATAAATGCTGCCGACTGTGGGCCTCCAGGGTGCGCGTCTGAGGGGCGTGCGGCCTGGGGGCCCCCAGCAACCATCGGGCCCCTGAAATTGGGCTTGTGTGCAGGCTCAGCATGTAACACCCCTCCTCCTTATGAAGTCAAGCCGGGTCGAGGGAAAGCTGGCGATCCAATGCTGGAACCTGGACGCAAGTACGGCATGGAGCCGAAGGTGCCGGCTTGCCTTGCTGTTTGCGTTCGTAACGTGCGAGTGCATCAGGGGCTGTGGCCCGAAGTTCCGCACAGGTCAAACAACGGTCAGCCTTATGGCTACAATAAGCAAAGTGTACTAAGTACTCCGACGGCTTGGTGCAGTAGCGCCACTGCGAAATAATGTCGCTAACCTCCTGAAAACCGTCCATGGAGGGTGGGTCTTGCGATCGTCGCCCGGGAAAGTCTTCGCATTCCGCCGAAACGAAAAGAGCCAGCTTTGAACAATGAAAGACCCGGTAGACGGGCAAGTGGCGGATACCTGAATGACAAATGAAGGTCCTTTGGGTGCGTCACCAGCGGGTGCTACAATGTGTCATTTCGGAAGGAGCTTGCGAGAGATATCTTGTTCGAGGCTGAATTCCGCAGCTGAGACCCAAACGAGGTCACCAGCGCGGAACGGATAAGGAAGATGCTGGCGATTGGCCTGACGGCTCATGCATTGCTGCATCTTTAACATCTGGTCGCGTGCCTTGACAAGGAGCTCTTGCATATGTCGAATGAAGATAAGGTGGTCGTCGCTCTTGGTTGTCCGTGGGATGATAGTGTCCAATGGCGATGGAACCGGCGAGCCATGCTAGAACTCAAAGGGCAATATCGGGATAGTCGGATGAATGGACGAGTTGTAAGCCAACTCGACGTCCGACAGCCGGGTTTGATGCGCCCTCTCCATTTGGCCATCGGTTTGTGGGTAGCGAGCGGAACTCGGCTTGAGAGATGAGCCCCATTGTTTAATGAGCGCCTAGC